GACTAAGACATCGTGCGAATTAACATGAAAATGATAATCCAATAAATAAAATAAACAAAGCCCACGGACTGGTACAGAAGAGGAAACCTGGATAGCCAATAAACATAGGAAAAGATATTCCATATCACTAGGGCTGGGAAAATGCAAATTAAGCTGCAATGAGATACCACGTCATGCTCATCACAGCACCAAGTACCAGCCCACTTGTAGAGGAGTAGACACGCGCTCCCTGCTAGTGGGGCTGTGATTGGTGAGAGCCGTTCGGAGGACGATTTGGCGAGACACACAGAAGCTGAAGATGCTACGTCCTTCCGCCCAGCAATTCCACCTTCAGGTGTACAGGCTAGAAAAATTCTTCCATGAGAACACTTATTGCAGGGTTATTTGTAATAGCAAAAAACTGTAAACAATCTAAACATCTGCCATAAGGAAAATAAACACATTACAGAATACTCAAATAATGGAATTTAAATGAATGAAATTGAATTATGTAGCTATGTTAACTAATGCAGAGAAGTCTCAAAATTGTAACTGTATATAAATACAGGTTGCAAAATTTATAGTGTAATGATTATACATTTATGCATATGGCCTAGTCTGATATTTATCTAAGGTTTAAACTATGCAAAAGTATACTATACACTGTTTACAGCCATATAAATATACTGAAAAGGCATGAAAATATGCATGAATGTAAAACACCAAATTTATAACAAGAGTGATCATTACCTATTGGGAGGGAGAGGAATAGTATCCAGATAAAGGAGGGAGTGATGTTTAATCTGTTTCAAAATTTGAAATAGTGTGGTTTATGATTTTATAATGTCAGGTGCTCTGAATAGGTTGTTTATATTATTCTCTGTTACCTACATATTCAATATATTTCACAATGGAATGAAAAAAAGAAAGGAGACAGAACAACCGTTGTTCGCAGGTGTTAGGATGATACAACAACGACAAGGGAAAAACTTTAGAACTAATAAAAGAGCTCAGTTAGATACAAAATAATCATCCAAAGTTCAATAGGATTTCTATTTAATTACAATAACTCGCATAAATGGTGGGGGAAGCAATCCCATATTCAGGAGCCAATTAAATGATAAAGTAACCAAGAAGAGTCTCACCAAAACTGTGCAGGACCTATATGAAATTACAAAGTTTTACTAAGCTATGTTCTTAACTAGGAAGCAATAATATATATCATTATTATGACTCTCGGACGTGGAATCAGAGGAAGGCTTCTTCGGGTCGGAGATGGCTCAGCGAGGCTGACGCATCAAGGCTTGGAAGCCAGTCCCTCAGGCGGTAGCCACTTCCTCAGACCTAGCCCGAGGGGGCACTTACATTTCCCACCACTGGCAACTTCACAGAGCTCTCCTGTGCTGACGCCGGCCCACTGCAGCTGAACGTAATTCTTATTTATGCCCCACTGAATGGAGCTTGGAACAGTGCAGGTAACACGGCACCTGAAGCCTGAAATCGACCTTCTCTTCCTAGGTGTGTGATTGTTTTCTTTCCCTCTCTGCTCTTCCTGGGCCCACTCTACAGCGTACCTCGTTTTAGAGTTAAATCCTGCAAACTTCATTTTCATTCTGACCTATGCACCTTGCAAACGAATCCATGAGGGCTTCTCTCCAGTTTCTCCCCAGCCAATTGTCTTGATGGACAAATCACTCCTTGCCATGTGAGGTTCCAGCCCTGACTGGAGCCCAGCGTCGGCCTCCCTTGCAGCCAGGAGGAATCTCAGGGTTATGGCATTACTTCCTAGGCCATGACCAGGAATCAGGTCCCTGCCGTCCAGGGAGGTTTAAATCAGATCATCTCTTCTCCATCCCAACCCTCACAGTAATGAGCTCTGCCAAGCAGAAATTTCTTCCCAAGCAGAGAGGGTAACTTAGTTGATTAACTAGCTCTAGAATGACAAGCTATTCTGAAAGGAGCCTGCCTGGACTGACACAGTGGCTCAGGATTTAAAATATCAATTTCATCTCTTGCTTTTCTTGCATTTTCCAAAATCTCACCAGTTCTGAGGCCAAAGCAGGATGAGGCCTGAGAGGGTGCCTGGGGAGTGGGCCAGAACGAACCTGTGTACCTCTGTTTCTTCTCCAAAGGAGTTGGTCTAATGGCAGGATGACGTTCAGGTTTAAGAGATCTCTCTATTGACAGAGCCCTTGGGTGAAGTGAAATCTGATGCCGTTTACACAAGTCATCTTCCCCCATGTCAATAAAATAGATCGTTTCCATCTAAATTTTAAATCAGCAAAGTGTGGATAAAGTTAAAGGAGGACTACTGGTGCAAATGGGAAAAATGCCCCACCCAAGCCAAAGAACTCCAGTGTAACTGCCTAGAGGCATGGGGTTTTCAGAGTAGGCATTTTTTAACTGCTGACCAGCAGATGGCAGCATAATTCAAGAAAAGAAACCAGGTTCGCCCCTTTCAAAGGTTCCTTATCTGCCAAGGAGAAAAACACCTTTTATTCAAACAATTTGCTGGGAGGAATAATTATGGGCTTCAAGGGATAGTGGTTGTACTTTTAGTAGCTGTTAGCCAAAAAAATATATATGGCAAGTTAAAATGAACTCATTGCGACTTTCCAAGAAATTTTTGTTTTAATAACCACAAAAACATCCACATGCACTTGAAAAGTACCAACAAGGTCGGACATCAACGCACGCAGAATATTTACATCCCCTCCCAGACAATCCTTGGCATTCATGCATATTCCCAGGCCCTTGGTAATAACTGCATGGTCCTGGAGGAGCTCCTGGGTCCACGAAATCCCTGCCTTCCCCAACCCCTGCTTCCTCCTCAGCCACCCAGCCAGCAGCTTGCTTTGGGGGACTGAGAGAAGTTGCTAGAAGAGAGTGAACCAGAAGTTCCCATTTTCTACACAGCTTAGCACTTTCTACAAGTCTTAGCACTCCAAAACCAGCCTGTAATAAATCAAAAGGGCTCTGGCATTGCGTTTAACTTGTTAAAGAAGGAAACACCATGTAAAAGGACCCCCGTGGGAATGGAGTTTCCCAGTGACACAGTATTTGTAATTGTCAAGGGTAAGGGGCTGGAGTTGAATGTCTGGCCTGGGACAGAGACATTTCTATTTATGTTAGTGGTGCAATTTGGACAAGCTAGTCAACCTCTCTAAGTTTCTGTGCCCCCTCTCCCCTTGTAAAATAAAAAGCATGTTTCTTGCCTCCTGGAGTTTTTGTGAGGATTAAATGAAATTATCTGAGTAAGGCATTAATAAGCGAGGGGCTGGCACATAAAAATGCTGGATAATGTTGGCTGCCATATTTACTACTGACCTTTCTAAAATCAATGTTACTATCGTTATTATTATTATTATTAAAACTAATATCACAATAGAGTATCACTGAACATTGGGAAAATCATAAATGAGGTCTCTTAGTGAATTTGTCTCTGCAGACAATAGTGTCATCTCATGGGGGCATCTAGTTATCCATAATGTCCCTTAGTTCTCACATTTGCAAAGTATTCTGATAAAGCAAGACCAACACAAGATCTCTTGACATAGTGAAGAGCCCTGAGAGTGAGAAGTCCCGGGGGAACTGCCGCCCACCACCACCAGCAGCTTTGCAGCCACCGTCCCTGCAACAGCAGCCCTCGGCAGATTCTAGTGACCCCGTAGGGTCTGAGCAGGGGGTGCATATGCATGGTCACGTGAATGTGCACATGTTTGTGACTGAGCCTCTGCATGTTAAAAAATCATCTGAAAATCTGAATTCCTTGTTCAACAATACCTGGTCCTGGCCTTCCTCCCCAAAGGTCTCATACTTGTAGACATAATATCCCCCTTTCCTTGCACACTTTCTATCACGTCCTAAGTAACAACGATCATTTGCTAAGGTGTAGCCTGCAAGAGCTTTTTGGAAGGTCCTCGTTGGACCCCACACTGGCATCCACTCCTCTCCTACAGTGACTAACAGTCATGGGCAGGATCGCCTCACTCAGACACAGAGGTGAGCACGGGTGGGGAACAGACCATACACTGGAGGAGAGAATGCACTGGGTCACTGCTCACGCGGAGGTGATATGGGGCAGGTTATGCCACTGACGTAGAATTATCTGGGCCACTGCACAGCCGGACCCGATGAGCTTGCTGAGTGCAATTCCAGAAGGGAAATGGCAAAGGAGTAAATGCTCAGCTTAGTGAATCACGTGGCCTGCAGTGAACTTTAATACCATGCCCTGACCCATTTGGGGGGCTTCAGAGAACAACCTCAAAGAGGCATTCTTAAAGCCCAGTGGGGCGGACTGTCCATCTCATTTGTTGCAGGTGTTCAAAGAAGAGAAGTAAAATGGATTGAGGAGGCAGCCCTACAAAGGTACAGGACTTTTCTAATATACCCCTGGTGTTCCCTCTGGATGATATATGGGCCATGCTGACCGACCCTTGGACATGACATTAGGTGGAAGAATAACACAAAGTAATGTCATGCTGGCTTCTGGATTAGCTTCCAGAGAAGCTTCCAAAATCAAAGAAAAAGCTCAAAACCATGCAGGGTGCAAGGGCGGGGGTTGGGGGAGGAGAGGGGACTGGTGCAGGGACCTCAGCACCGAGAGTTCTGGACCTTCTCTCCAGGCAGGCACCATTCAGAGCCCACGCCTCCCTGCACACCTCCACTAAAGGTGTGAGACTCCAGGAAAGTGGTCTGACTTCCCCTCCTCGGTCAAATGTCTCCATCCTTGGGTGAATCTGCTATAACCGGGAGATAAGGGACAACTGGAAGCCAGTCCAGCACAGACAGAGCCACCAGGGGGACTGTCATGTCTCTAGCAGCTTACTTTGCAAATGTGAGAACTACGGGACATTATGGGTAGCTAGATGTCCCCATGAGATGACACTCTAGCAGTGTGATAAGCCGTGACACGCCCACAGCCGTCAAGCTCATTCCTCTACCACGCTGCATTCTTGTCTTTCCAATGGCGCCCCTTGGACTGTCACTCGGATCTGGGGAAAGCCCAGGTTCATACTTACTTGTCATTCACAAGTTTGCCATGTTGGTGAATCTGGTTTTCCATCGTGAAGTTGATCGTGGCACCGTACACATGCTCACCAAAAAATACCTTCATTTTGGACTTGTATTCTTCATCTTGAAAATACCGGATCATATCCGGGAACCAAACCGTGAGACCATAGTAGCTGTAATAGAGAAGACAGAATATTCGAGCAGCAATCTGCTTTATTCTTTCATGATCAGAGTCCGCATTCCTGACTTGATGCAGATCAAGCTCATTTTCAAAGTATTAATATGGTTCGTTATTAGAAAATCTCATCATATAACACATCAGAGCAATACAGCTAAGGAAAAAAATCATGACTGTCTCCATAGATGGTGAAAGGCATTTGATTTTTTAAAAATTCACTCATTCTTGAGAAAAACAGCAGTAGAGTGGGATTGGCGGACACTTCCTTACATGTAAAAGGCAAAATCTTACTTAATGGGGTGACACCAAACATTCCCACTAAATAACAGGAGCAAGACCAGGGCGCCCATTATCACCACTACTCTTCAACACTACATGATGGGTCTTAGACAACTCAGTTAGACAGGAGAAAGAGTAGGAAATAAAACTGCAAAGCAGGAGATAAAACCATCTCCATGTGCAGATGATATAATTTTACACCTCAAAAACTCAAGATCACCAACTGAAAAAGCTGGCCATTGAACACATAAAAAAGATGCTCAATCCCACTCATAATAAGAAAAATGCACAATTAAAACCGCATGGTGTTACCATTCCCGTACCGGATTCTCAAAACCCCAAAGTTTGCCAACACACTGTTGGTGAGGTCATAGGCAAACAGATACTCTCATACATTGCTGGAAATAGGGCAAAATTATACAATACCATACAGAAGACAATTGGTCAATGTCTGGAAAAATTACTGGTGGATTTACCCCCTTTGACTCCATAATCCCATTTCTTGGAACCTATTCCACCAATGAACTTGCACAAGTAGAAAGTAGCCTACAGAGTTATACATGTGGCATTGTTTGCATAGCAAAAGTCTGGAGACTAATTATATTATATATAAAGTCTGAAATAATTTTATAAATATATATATATATACATATACACACATATATATATACACCTATAATTATATTTATTTGCAGAAATAAACACTGAAATGGTAAATACAAAAATAAAAGATGATTACATATAAGAGGCAGAGAAATGGGCAGAGAAGGAAGAGAGGCAAGATTCCTGTTGTATCAACATTTGAAATGTATTACCTCTTCAATAAAATGAAATTAGACATTAGTAAATATAAATGAAATGAATCTTTGAACTATCATGGAATTGAATCATAGTGCCTACCATCTTTGGCTTCTGAAACACTCTTCATTTAGATGGGACAAGTGGAGGGAGTGGGGTGCGGCTCCCTCTCTTACCTATTCCTTTACCTGTATTCACGTTTAGGTCTCCATTAACAGGTATTGGAAGAAATCAGGTCTCCCATATTCCTCCCTTAATCCAAGCAGTCACTAGAGCTAATTTCCTAGGTCAAGGGAGTGTGTCTTTGGGCACAGGTAGGGGTGAACAAAGGAATTCTCTAGATGGAAGTTTTAAATCTCACTGAAAGTTCCTACTTGATAATAGTCATTTAATGAGCACTTATTATGTGCCAGAAACTACCACAAGCCCTTTCTATGTACAGTAAAATAGCTTTATAATGCTGCTAGTGAGCCTCAAAACTTGCACAACAAGAGCAATGTTATTTGGAGGTGAAAGATATGACTTGGGTGAGAGCCAGCTAGTCACCAATTGTATTACATTTCATTTTCTTCCTTGTATGGCACAATATTGCATTCCACTGTTTCATCTATTCGATCACAGTGCAGCTGCTGGCTGCCTGCTCAGCACTCATTCCTTGCTTCCTCCTTCAGAAAAACTCAATTTTGTTTGAGTATCAGCCCTCAGGAAAGCTAACAGTACCTTCAGCTTCATCCAGATTAGTCTTCAATTACTAGGAAATCACATCCCCTTCGCCGGTGATCAGTCACGCACACCCGGGGACTCTAACAGAGGGCAAGTCGCCTGGCGACTCCTGAAAAAGGTTCCCTCCCCGTTAAAAAGGGAAGTTCAGAGAGGCAGCCTCCTCCTCGTAACATTTCCCCAGTCGACAGGATGCCAAGAGCAGTGCAGGCACCTTGCAACATGATGAGAAGGAGCCGGAAGCTGAAACCCCTCTTGGAGCTTGTCTCTTTACAGAATTCTTGCCACAAAGGGTAAGAAATATCCTTGTTGTAGAAGCCACTAGAAGCCACTGTTATTTACAGCCAAGAGCATCCGGTCTAATACCGACCATGTGAGTTAGAACCAATTTTAACCTTCAATTTATAGATAAGACACCTGAGGCATGGGGAAATTAATGAACTTACGGAACATGACGCTTACCTTAAAGCCATGGTGAACCAGACCACAGCCAGAACCAGCGTGTTCATCCTGTAGGGCCCCATCACACAGTACAGAGCGTTATCCCAGACCTATAACCCACACCACAGAAGGCTGGTTACACAAAGGATTTTGTGACTGGAGAGAGCTTGTTTTCTAAGATTTTCTAAGAAGTGGCCTAGGATCCCACGGAAAGAATGACAGCCGTGATCCCAGAGGCAACAGTTGCATTTAGAAAACAAGGACAGCCTCTTCTCTCCTTCCCGGCTGGCCTCTGCCTCTAACAGTCCTGAAGCATGTTCCCTGGGGACACAGTAATGGCCATGCATGTGCTCAGAAGCAGAGCTGGAATTTCAAGGCACCGAATAACCTTGGGCAGTGAGTTTTGCTCTGCGTGTGGGAATAGGTGATATTCCAGACATTTAACAACCATTCACCACGAAGGTCATCCAGTCTCAATAGACTACGGCGGCCAGCTGCCGTAGTGCCCAACAGCTGATGCGCCAGAAGGAGCACTTCTTTGGAAAAATGGCCTTGTCCTTCATGAAGACTCTCAGCAATCGCTAACAAGCCTCAAGGGGTCATCTGTTTCACTCACTCCTTTTACCCTATGGAATATTTAAAGAGAAGATGCTGGAGAGAAGTTTGCTGACTCAAACTAGACATTTATCTACATTCAAAATCTCCGCCTTAGGAAGAAAATAAAAGAAACTAAAGTTTAGAGAGCATGGCTCAAGGGCACACAGCCAGTGAGAGGCAGGCATGGGCCGAGACTCAAACACCCCCACGCAGCATCGCTTCCTCCCCACCGCACGGCCCTGGGCTGATAGGGGGTTTAGGATTTTTTATCCTTCATGGCCTGAGGTTACAGCCTTCCGCAGAGCCTCTCCCTCATCCACCACGTGTCCCCAGTCCTACCTGCTTGAAAGTGGTCTTGACCCTGACCAGCCAGCGCTGGTACCAAGTTCCTGTCGCGCTTTGGATCTCAATGAACTCATCCATTTGCTTGGGAGTTTTGATGTGCGAAACCTGTAAAGCAAAGAGAAGCTAGAGAATCTTCACACCACTTTGTGTCAGACTTCTCCATTTTAGCGACAATGTAACTGACTTCATTAACTTATTGATGGACTGGAGAAGCCCCATGATCCTTAACCAAAGATATGCATAGCATCTCAGGGATCTTTCTCAGATGGATACATCCTGCTGCAGACAAAGTGAATCAGCCTTTCACTAAATCATGTTCCAAGAAATTTACATTAGTCGTAATACACTGAATTCCCATGTATATCTGATTTACCCACAGTAGACCTTAATACATATTAACATCACAGATGTCTAGAACCTATATAGGCAATAGTGCATGCATGGGTGTGTGTGTGATGTGGTGGTGGTGGTGGTGGTGGTGGTCGGGGGGCAAGGAGGTGGGAGGTGGTTGCTACTTAAGATATTTTTAAAACACAATAGAATAAGAGAAATCATGTCCCCGGCTTTCCTGGTGGAAATCAGAGAGGAAATGAGAATTAAATGGTGTATCTCAGCCTTCCCTCAAGGGCCCTGGGGAATGTTGATCTGTCCAACGTCAGCAGGGAGCCCCAGTGAGCAATCCTGACAGTCAGGACAGTGATTGTCAAGTGGACCAGTGGTTAAATCCACCACTGATTCTATAACTACGGAGATTCCCAACCACACAAACTCTCTTAGCCAAGCTATCAAGGTCCATGCTTGCAGACCTATTCCGAGCAACGTGGAAAGGCTCACTCAGAAAAACTCAAAGCTGTTTCCAGCACCAGCTCCACAATCCTTTCATCGAGGGATAAAGGGTGTTAGTCCTAAGAGAGTCTCCAACTCTTTCTTCAGCCAAAGGCCTGGGAATGTGAGGAGACAAAGGAGCATAAACAGACATGAGGCTGGATAATCCACAGGGAGAAACCCAGTCCCTGGAGATGGGCAACCGACTCATCAATGCCCAAGCACAGGGCCTATGACAGCTTGGCTGTGCTTTTCTAAACCCTAAAAACAGTGGTTTGTAGACTTTGGTGAGGACCAGGCACCCCTCCGAGCATCTGGTAAAAGCACAGGTGCTCTTCCTGAGCCCGCAGGTGCACAAGCATCCTGACAGCCTCCTGGGCTTGGCCTGCCATTCCCGGTACATGGCCTTTGCAAATGATCCTGTGTCTGTGCTCACACAGGGCCATGCCTGTCGCAGAACTCCTGGCTGAGGCTGGGCTTCACATTGTCAGATCCCAGCAGGGAGACCCTGAACCCTAGCAGAAGCCGAGGGAGGCCTGAGGGCAAGAAGGCTGACCCCCCCATCAGGAGGTACCTCAAAAAACATACTCCAAGGCATTAACATATCCATGCAGGCACAAATTTTTATTTTCTTTGCTCTAAGTGAAAAATAACACCCTGTTCCCTAGGGATTTGGGAGTGGGTGGGCTGACAGCTTCGAGCACAATTACTCTAATTTACAATTAACTAGGATCCTTGTCTTTGATTTGGTCTAAATTAGAGGTGGCCTGTGTTCACCCCAGCCCCACAGCACAGGGGTTCTCCTGGGGACGCCTCACTCTGTCCCCTCCAAAGGTGGCTCTGGGATATGGGCCAGGTGGCAATTCAGAAGCTTGTAAGGCAGCCAGGGAATGGAGTTGGTGAAACCCAAGGCTTTGAAGGTGAGGAAAACATTTCCCTTGACCCCTTAGGGTCCCTGGCTGGGTCTGAAAGTAAACTGACAAGGACAGATGAATAGCAGCAAAGCATCCGCGTTTCACTGAACTTTTCCGTGTCCCTGGGGGCCTGTATACCAGATCCGGAGCGGTGACCAGATAGGCAGGAGCAGTGACCAGATAGGCAGCTCTACCCCCTTTGGGCAAAGAAACAGTGAATCTGTGAAGAGTTGACAAGACAAAGGGGTTGGGCAAGAGGCAGTAAATGGTGAAGAAGCAAGTGGAAAGATAGGGGCTGGTTTGGCACGGCTGGTTTGTGCAGCCTTTGCGGCCCCAAGCTCCCTGTCTCTGGTCATAAGTCTCTTTTCCTCCTGCTACGGGGAGGGTGCCTTTCACAGGGGAGGGGGAGAAGGGTGAGCAGGCAGAGGTCAGAGCGCCCTTCCTGCTTCTGCTTCCTCGAACTCCTTCAGCTTAAGATATTCAACATCCCACGGTGCCAAATTTCGGGGGTAGCGTGTCCTGAACCCCATCAGCTCAAACGTGGCAGTCAGGAGGGCAGCATCCAGTGCACCCCAAGAACAAGAACACTCACGGAGAGCCTGACCTGCCCTCAGCCCCTCTTCCAGGCTGCTGAGCACATTTATGAGGGTGTTCGCTGTGGGGGCCACACAGGAACAAAGCGGGGACCCACCCAACCAGCTGGGCTGAGTATTCACTCCTGACTGCCAAGCCAGTTCTTTAACTTTCTGGTTGTTTTTCTCTCTTTTTTTTTTTCCTGGCCCATCCAGTCATCCACTTCTACATAATTCTGTGACCACCAGGTCGGTGTGGAATACTGAACCCACAACATTTGTAATTCCCTCTCCTGTTGGGTGAAAACTCCTAATGCAAAGGCCATGCCTAAGAACTTGGTGACAAGCATACATGGGGACGGAGACAAAACGCCCACATGCCCTAGTCCCTGTCCCTGGATTACCATCCCTGAAGGGGGGCTTCTGGAACCCAGGTAAAAGACTTAACTTTTGTCTTTGGAAATTAGAGTTGTTTTTATTGATTTCCAGGCTCAGATCTCATTCCTCAAAATTAGGCTGCTTACATTAGAAGAGGTTGGTAAGAGAAAAATGGGGATCGGTTCTCTTAAAAGGGGCTCCCTGTCGGGCAAGCCCACATGGTGGATTTAGAAGGTGGTCCTTCCAGAAGCCACAGGCAGGAAAACCGCTGTGTGGAAGGCACTGTGAGGGCAGGGGGACCAGGGGACTGGTGAGGTCGGCAGAGTTTACAGCTCCCTGGGAAAGGCAGGGACCGTAAATGAGGTGGAGAGCACTCCGTCCATCAGGACGCCTCTTAGGAGAGCTCTGAGTGTGGATGGAATAAATATGTCAGTTAATACACTGCTTGAGGTGTGCGAGAATCTCAGGGAGACGGGCTCAAATGCAGAAGACCAGTGACCAACTATGCATGATCCAAGAAGATTTTGTTTTATTCCAGAGGGAGAGAGAGAGAGAGAGGACAGGGGAACCGTGATGGGGAGGCTACAAAGGAGGAGCAAAGAGGAGGGGGTGGAGCAGGGAGAAAGGGGGGCTGTGCATTCTGCGAGGCAGTGCCTCAAACTGCCAGTAAGGTTATATATAAACTTGCAAATGCTTGGCATGAGTGATGGGTGTGTGTGTGTGTCTGTGTGCATCTGCATTTCATACCAGGTTGATGTTGTACAAAAACCAATCCAGCTGACCTGGCTGCAGAGGCTGGAGGCAGAGATGGACGACCACGAAGACGTCTCCCAGGGATGAGAGGAGCACGGAGAGCAGTCTGTGGAGTGGGCGTGGGGTGGGGACAGGACAGAGCCAAGCACGCCCCGATCCCAGTGGGCAGGGAGCTCACTAACGCCTGGTGTCCACACCTGCAGTGCGGCTGCAGCCCTACCATCCATCAGGGAGAGCGGAGCAGATGCAGGGCTGGGAGAGCCCCCTGCGCCCCAATCCTCTTACCTTTGAGGTACTTCTGCTAACTGTGCTTCTTAATAAATATCTGTGATAAAAGCACTGTCCCTTTTTAAACATATTTTTAGGAGCACTGGAGTTGGGGAAATATGCCAACAAACAGCTTTCAATAAAATGCATTACTTGAGTTAATTTATGGAAAAACAGGGCATAACATTTCTGAACAATAGTTAATATCCACGTAGCCCTTACTCCAAACCAGACCCTGGTTTAGGAACTTCATCTCATCCTTACCATAACCAGGTAGGTTGTATCATCCTTTTTTCCCCAGGGAGGAAACTGGGGCACACAGGGCATCTTGCCTAAGGCCATTCAACTAGGAAGTGTCAAAATGGAGATTTGGACCCAGATTGCCTGGCTCCAGGTTGCAGCTGCTATGTGGTCCTGCCCAAGAATCAGGGGTTTTCAGCAGCAGTTCGCAAGAACAAGTGTTTCACTCCAGACTCAAACTATGGGGGCCAAAGAAGCCCAAGTGGTGGACTGGAGTAAGTGGGACTTCACCCAGGAAGGCTTCCTTGCAGAGATGGATTTGCAGTTGGGCTGAAAGGAAGTCAGGCGAATGGGTGCACGGCCCACCTGCAGCGGCGTTCCTGGCCCCTGGCCACAGAGCGTGGTGGGAAGGAGCACAGATCCGGGTAACTAATAGGACATCTTCCTGGAAATGACCATGTACCGGTTTTTCACTTTTTAAATTATCAAGAAACAAAATTCAGGCTAACAGCCAATGCTGGAAAGGATACAGAAAGACAGGCATCCTGTTGCTTTGTGGTATTACTGATTGGAAAAAACCTATTGCAATGTAATTTGTCAATGTAACTCAAGAGCTATAAAAATACTCATGCTTTTTGAGGCAGTCATTTTATTTCTAGAAGTCTACTCTTAGAAAACAAACCCAGAGCATGAAGGGGAAGGAGCTATGAGTGAGAAGGTTCATTGCAGCAATATCTACAGGAACAACATAATAACATAGTAAATAAATCTCTAGCATTAGGGATGCATTTAGGGAAACTATGTTAATGTTCCTAAATTAATGTTCACTAAAAGGATGGCTATGAATACTAGTAGACCACATATAGAATGGTCATGAGTACTCTTAACACATATATACAAACACATAGACATATGCTTGTCCCCATATGAATAGTCTTTCATTGTTTTCTTTAACTTTTAGTGATAGCAAGAAGGACATCCATCAAAATGCAAAGAGTAATTATGATACAGTGATGGGAAATTCAGGAGTTTTATTCTCCTTTTGACAAATTTTCTGGGATGTGCTTATGAGACAGAATTACTAATTTTTGGCAAACCAAAACAGTTCTTGCTGACGAAGACGGCCGCACACTCACCGTGAACACCTTTTCCGGGGCACCCTTGGCCCTCATATTGGTGTCGTGGACTTGCTTGAGAATCATCCAGGCTTCGTCGTGTTTACCCATCTGCTTAAACCAAGGAAAAAGGCATGAAAAGTCCTTTGCTGATTAGGGGTGGAGACCCTGCAAATCTGGGTGGGTGCTGGTGCCTGAGGCAGAGATGATTAGATAGGGTCTCATTACTATCTAGGGCTTGTGAGAGGCTGGGACAAGGTTCTGTCCCCGGTCCATCCTGGAGAGAGAAGGTTGTGCCTTCAAAGCGTAAGTGTACACGCTGTCACCGTCGTGCAGTCCTACTACTCTTAGTTCTAAGGTTGAATGGACTGCTGGGTGGGAACTGTGTTCCTCCCTGACAGGAGAAAGCAAAGAAAGGACAGGTTATGGATTGAACTTTGTCTCCCCCAGAAAGATATGTTGAAGCCCTAACCCGCAGTACCTCAGAATATCATCCCATTTGGAAAAAGTGTTTATGTAGATGTAATTAATTAAGATGAGGTCGTACTGAGGCCCCTAATCTAATACGATTGGTGTCCGTAGAAGAAGATGGCCAGGTGACAACACAGTGACACACAGGGGGACGTCCACATGAGGACAGAGGCAGGAAGTGGTGCGGTGCAGCCGCCAGCCAAGGAGCATCGGCGTTTGCCAGTAAATGGCCCAGAGCTGCGAAAAGCAAGGCTTCAGAGGGAGCGTGGCCCACCGACACCCGGATTTGGACTTCCAGCCTCCAGAACCGTGAGGTAATAAATTTCTGTTACTTTAAGCCATGCAGTTTGTGGTCCTGGGAAACTAACACACAACGAGGGTAATTTTGAGATAACCCTGGTTTAAAAAATTCCCTGCATCTGCCCCTTGATCAGTAGGGAAAAGGAGGGAATCAGACAAGGAGGATCTCTCTGCAGAAAGATCTAGAAGGAGGCAAGTAAGTGGACTCTGAGCACTGGGGGTGTGAGAGCTTCCGAGCCCTGCTGCCCCTCCACCAGCCCTGCCCCATCTGACCACGGCTAGCACGTGAGCCCCCCAGGCTGGAAGGACCCTCCTCACAGGAGCCTGGGAGCAGCTTTCTGGCGGGGAGGCCGTCCTGCACCGCTAAGAGTCCTGAAGGGCTTGGGAGCAGTGACAAGCTTACCAGTGTCACTTACAGTGACAACAGTGAAAAGCAGTTACAAGCTGCAACTTGGAAAATCTCCTGCACCTTGGAGAGCCTCACAATCTAGACTCTCTGGAGTGACCGTGTGCCTGAAGCAGCCTCAGGGCACCCCCATCTTGGGGCACAGTGCCTCTGCTCTGTGCTCAGTGAGCCCCTGAGACCACCCAGAATCCAGGGTGTGCAGCCAGTCCAGAGAGCAATGAAGCCGGTCTTAATGAGGGGTCAGGCCGGCCAACATCGGGGGCCACAGCCACGGGGCAGGGGGGCTGACTCACCTCCAGCAGAAACCTCGGGCTCTCCGGCATGAACCTCAGGGCCACCATGGACACAGCGCAGGGCAGGGCACAGACGATGACAAAGACCCTCCAGCTGTGGAAGTGGTAGCTGGTGCCCATACTGAAGCCCCAGCCTGTAAAGAAGCAGTCAGAGGGCTTCTGACACACGAGCTTGGAGTGACGTTCAAGCCTGGTTCTCAAATGGCCAGGAGTGAGAGACTCCCCAGGGGAGCTGGTTAAACTGCAGACTCCCCAGCTGCACCCCCAAAGCATCTCATTCACAAACCTGGGATGGGTGCCAGGAATCTGCATCTTGACAACCCCTTAGGTAGGCCTGGCCTGACATTCACAGGAGGTTGGGTAAGAGGACAAATAAGAGACCACATCCCCTATTTCTATATACTCATTACAATTTAAGTTATTGAGGTTAAATACTATTTTTTTGATTTTAAAGAAACTGGGCTTCTACATCCAAGCGAATTCCACCCTCGTTGAAACAAAGAGGTGACCAGCTCCTACTTAGCTTCCACCACTCAGAACATTTCTAAAATGAGGTTTTGGAAATGGCCTTCAGGACCTACAGACCATTATTTCAGATATAATCATGGGTCACATAACGTCCCTCTTTTAAGGAACAATAACACGGTGGAAAGAGTCTGGACTTTTGCAGTCACATCTATCAGAGTTCAAATCCTGGCCTTCTCACATTACTGGGTTCCCACGGCTGCAAAATGCAGGCAGTGACACCTCCACAGATTTGCTGTCTGTGGAAGCTCCCGGCAACCAATGATAATTCACCTGCTTTGAGGGTAGATTTGATTTGTTTAGAAGTAGCTACATGACACTTATTGCCAAAGATGTTGAGTCAAATAGATGAACAGCAGCAAAGAGCAGTGAAAGAATCACTTTATTTAAAGCCAAGGTTATAAAATAAAGAGATTGGTTTTCTCCTGCCACTCAAAGTATCCCTGGAGACAATTTCAACATTTCTTAAAAAGACAAAACTTTATCAAATACTGATTTTTGAAGTTCAGAGGGTAAATGCTATTGGGATGTAAATCTCTATTACAGTGACTTAAAAACATACCATATGGCTGACACCAGAGGTGGGCAATTTACACCTTAAATTCTCTATTACTCCTCATTGTGCTTCAAATTGTTCTATTTTCAGTGAACTCCCAACCAATATCTGCTGTTTCTACAGGTGTTTCCTACTCTGCACAATCAGGACCAGCCAGAGGGCATCCCAGATGGGAAAATGTGGGCCTACAGCCCCTTCGACTTATTTGGCCTCACAACGCACATGTCAACCAACGTCCTCAATCAGAAGCAGATCTTTTTTTTGCACAGCACGGTCTCTTATCCTCCCCATCCCACTGCCATTTGTTTGTTTTAATTTGAATTAAAAAGCCATCCCTTTCTGCTGGGAGTGACACTAGAAAGATAAAACCACAGTAATATTTGCATGTTCTCAACTCATGTCCAAAAACTACCCTGGAATAATGGCAAGTACATAGCAAACTCAGGTGAGTAACAAGGGAAGAAGGGCAGAAGCAGCTATGTTTATAAGCATTCTGGCTCAGAAAGATTTTTTTCCTTAATATGTGTAAATCATCAAAAATCCATTATTCCCTCATGCCTCTATGGTTTTTAGGGTGATTTTAGTAATCTGCACTTACCGCATTCATTAGGCACATCTTTGGGGCCTTAAATTAAATAAAATTAAGCAGCAAACAGCTTTCAAATATATGGAGCAACTATTAATTTGACGACAGGGATTGTTCCGTTCACTGATCTTTTTAGCTCGCCCTACTTTTTCTCTATCAGGATTTCACAAACAGCTGGTGGTCCTGACTACAATAGGAATTAATCTTCCAAAATACATGCATTTTTTCTGGGCTGTGCACATGAGTTCCCGGGAAAACATTCTGAGATTTATCATTTTCTTTCTCAGGGACTCAGTCACCCAAATTTCTGAACCCAAGACCCCCCATCACTTCCTTTCTGCAAAAGCAATTAAATGGCTTGCACAAGGAAACATCAGTCCCCTCTCTGTAGCTTCCCTTGCCTGGGTCCCTGCTAAGTGGAGGGGGCATTAGAGGATTAATGTCTTAGGCATATTGAGAAATGTCAGCACGTTTCTGGTTCACTGTGGACAAAACATCTGGTCCCGGCAAAATGAGGCTTAAAATCAATAGTCACTCCTGTTATAATGTGATTCTAGTCCAGCATATTTCTAAGATGGGTTTCCCCCAAGCATTAATGCCTGTTTCAATCAAGCTTACTCATCCTAAAGGCTTGTATTTTAAAATGAAATGTAAAAGCCACAGATTTCATACAGGCCTACAACTAGGACAGCATCCTGTCTACTTGGGGTAAAATATTTAGCCCCCAGCCCTGCTGTCAGCCAGCAGCCACAGGCCCCCTGTCATGGGCATCCCATTCAGTCTGGGTCAGCACGTTGCCAACGTGAATTCTTTTATTGCTTTCTCAGAAACCAGTTACCCAGATGTTGGTTTGTGCTTATGTGTGTGTTAAGCGAGTGAAAAAGGGATGCAGTCTGTAGTGACTCTTGTAGGCTGCTTCCCTCACAGCATCCCTCCCATCTTTGCCTCTCTCCCGCATGGCACACACGTGGTTTGGGTGGGGCTGACATCACCCCTGCGGCCAGGGATGGAGGAAGCATACGGAAACCATTCAGGACCCGGCATCCTCTGGGGTATGTGATTGGCTGAGGTGGGCACATGACCTAGGCTGATCCAATCAGAAGGGAGCCAAAGACCCTTGCTCATCGATTGGGTGTGGGTCTGCAAATACGAGTCTAGAATGGCTCATGCTGCTGGGAAGGAAGCTAGCCTGACGGCTAAAATCAGCTTGAAAATATTCTCGACACTCCCCATTGCCCGCCGAGGGTTGTTGAATCTTAGGGCTGGCACGGATCTCTACAGTCAGTTCCCACCTCCATTTCATTGGGGAAGGAATGAGGGCTGGACAGGATGGGGCGACTTGTCCCAAATCACGCAGCACTACTACTTTGAGTCATCGTTTATTCCGATTTTTATTTGTTCACCCTCCTTAAAACTTTTTTACTCTATTGACATGTGGAAATTGTTTCTTAGTGTTTACACATTTGGATCAGTTAACAAGGGAAATGATACAATAGCAAGAATGTGAGGGGAAAAAGCAATTCCTTAGACCCCTAGAACCAAGGGCATATTAGATGGATAACCAAAGTATGTGTTTGGGTGAGGGCAGAACACTGATCCTGATATTAGGAGTAATAACAATTTGTATCTAAAATTATGGTAAGCTGCTTTTGGTGACAGAGTTAATCTGGAAAACATCTTCAACTCTATTTCATTAGTCCTGTTAATATTTCTTCTCTGCTTCTGATACAAATTCAAATAGGTTCTCAAAAGATTACATCACATTCCCAAACTCATGTTCTCTACTTTCTGGTTACACAGCTAGATTATGTTTTCCAGGGTCCTTTGCAGCAGGGTATGATCACGTGGTAGATTTGGAGCCACCGGGATGTGAGCAGAGAGGATGTGCTCCACTTCCTAGCCTGCTCTTCAGAACCACCCATGTACACCTGCCCGTGCGCTTTCCCCATACCAGAGACCTTCAAGTCACATACTGAAAATAGAATCACATGCTGGAAGGAGCCTGAGCCCCCAAATGACTGATGGAGGAGAGCTGCCTGGAGATCAGAAACATCAGCCAGACTTTGTAGGAGGGAGAAAATTCTATTGTGTTAAACCACTGAGACCTCAGGGTAATGCACCCAGTATCACCCTAACTAATACAGTAGGTATTTTCTGCACCAAAATTGAGTCAAAAGATATGCATGGAGCCTCCTTTAGCTCAGAGAATACAGAGGGCCAGTTTAAAAACAAGGATGCCAAGGAGGTGAATGGTTAGAGGGGTGCTGGCTACCTTCAGGGCAGTTGTCCGCCACCCACATGGGTCTGCAGGATTCCAAACAACGACAAAGCCTACATCCATAATTGACCAAAATTGACATTGAAGGATGCTAATGGTATTTATTGCCCCGGACACTCAAAAGACATAATCAAATCCAAATCTCCTGCCTTCCCCCAACTTCACTCTTAACAAAATCAATAGTGAAAGTTAATATTGCCAGGTCGCTGTCCAGAAAATCTAGTTTTTACAATTACCCGGGATAATAAAATTGTCCCAGCTGAAACCAAGATCCTGTCTGTAGCGCTGTTCCACTTCTGCAGACAAACAAGACTGATGCAGGCACTAGAGGAGAAAGTGTAGGACAGTACAGCCCCGGGGTGGTGGGGAGGCATCAGGATTCAAGGTCGTTCGAGGGGCACGATCTTGGCCAAGTTACCAATTTCTCTTGACTTGTGTTATATCATCTCTAAAATGAGATTACCAAAGTTTAACTTGCTGAGGGGAGGAGGGATCGAGGGGTGGAGGGGTGGAGGGGAAGGTTGAAATCCAAATGAAAGGAAGAAAAGAAGAAAGGAAAAAAGGAGGGAGCGAGGGAGGGAAGACAGACTGTATTCTTTCCAGAAGGACATGTGTATTGCAAATAAGCAATGTGACTCGGTGTTGGGAGTCCTCTAGAAAGATCAAGGTCATATGCGGGAACTGTGTGTGGTACAGGGAATAACACCGAGGACAGGAATGGCTGAATGGGTCAGGACACCACGGTCCCGAGGGCCCCTGGGCTTTTTTAAGCCAGTGTGTTTTAAGCACTCACCATAGTGTGGAATGATGCTCCAGGCCATGGCAGATGCATAGATGCCTCCGGTCATCCAGAAGATGCCCAACCAGCTGAGATGCTCTCCTCGCTTCTCCCGAGACAAGAATTCAGAAAAATAGGCAAAAACAATGGGCAGAGCACCCCCAATACTGCAGAGAGAAAATGCAAAAAGAATCAAGTCATACACTGAAAATGGTCATAGCAGAAACCAAGCTGCCTTATGGCCCACCCTTAGGCCCAGTGGATTGGAAAGACTGGACATGGCAGTGTTGGGTTATTTCGACCTTATACACTGACTTTACAACCTACCCCCTTTCTAAGGTTCAACTTTAATAATGTATCTTGGAAGTCAAACACAAAATTCAGCCCACGGTTTTCTGAAGGGACCCCTCAGGGGCAGAATAGGAGGACGGACAGACCACACCTAGGGGGCCCCCCTGAAGCTCTGCGGTTACATACCCTATGCCCGAGATGAGTCGGCAGAGGAGAAAGGCCCCATATCCCTGAACGAAGGAGGAGAGGGAGGCGAAGGAGGCATTGATGGCCAGGGACATGCTGAGGACTCTCTTTCTCCCCAGCTTATCCGCCAGGCCTCCCAGGACGAAGGCGCCCGCCATCATCCCTAGGTAGACTATCAACCCTGGGAGGAGGGGAAAGAGAGGGGAGAGGGTGGGGAGAAGACAAGGCTCTCAAGACCATGCGATGTTTTAGAACATGCAACACCCATTTTTATGCATCCTAGAAACTCCGCTTCACAGACATCAAAGGTGGAATGGAACAGATGTGTTTGGCAAATTGGAAGTGCTGTACAAATTCAACTTTTTGGAGCACAATTCAAAGAAAATAGTCTCACAGGTTTGCACATGTGTGCACATATCGCAATTGATCAACCATAACTGGGTTTCATGTATCTCTCTGAAGGGCTACTCTTTGAGATGCATCATCTGCGGGACAAGGAAATGCTGTCATTTTATTTTTAAGGCAAAAAAATAAGTGTGTGTGGTACAAAAAACTCTACCTTCAGGGTAGAGAATTTCCAGGGAAAAAGTGTGGCAAAGCCGGTATGGGAAATATTGGAAAGGAAGGAAATGGTGCAAGTGAAAACCAGTAATTGTCATTAAGACCAGCTACTTTATTAAGCACCCAAAAAGGACCTTTTCCAAGCTGAAATCAATGTTCATATTTCTTAGGGAAATGTGGGTGAGAGTAGCAATGAGCTGTCCTTCATGAATACATGTAACTACCACTTGCCTTATGATAAGCTCTGTAAATCTAAGAAATCATATAAACATATTGTTGTAGACATGCTCACGGCCTTCCAGTGAAAGCCAGCATCCTCACGGAGGTGGCGAATCTCCAGAAGTACATGCCTAATTCCTTCCCATTAAATAGTGAGTGCTTCCTAATTATCATCAAGTGTGCTAAGTACATACATTATTTATAAAACCTCTGAGGGAACTTTGCAGAACTTCAGGCAGAGAAAACACTGAATACAAATTATGTAAGTATCCATTTGCCCAGCCTTGACTGTGAACTCAACAGTGAACACAAAATCTTTCACAAAAGAAAGCTTCTCCCTGGACCTGGAGATGCTTTATTTATGCAGCCATGTGCCTGCCTGGAAGGGTGGACACTAAGCAAAGACCTTCAAATGGCTGGCTAATGAACTTGAAGGTAGGTCCCCCAAAAGAGGAATTTAACTCTGCTACGATTTATTCTCCGTGGCAGGTTTCCTTTGTGTGTTATGTTATTCGAGGAGATGAAAAGAAATGATAACATTGGTGCTGTCAGCAGTTTTCACTAACTGGGACGTACTTCACTCACGTGCATTATAACTTAGCCTCAACATTGCTCAGTCATGAAATGTTATTTCCTTTTTCTTTTCAGCTTATGATGTTATTTCATGAAACATGCCCTTGAGTCTGCAAGTATTTATTAGATGCCTGGTCTTAGCTAAGCACCATTTGAGTTACTGGGGACACAGGGAGGTACAAACATGAAAATCCCTGCCTTCTAGCTACATTCTAGCTGGGCAAAAAAGATAATAAACAAATAAGTGAGTAAAATATATTGTAAGTGGGTAACTGATACAAGTTACAGGGAAAAATAAATGCAGAGGGGAGGAGCATGAGTCAAAGGTGGGAGTCGGTAATTTCAAAAACCTTGGTTCAGGAAGCCCTCACTGAGCTGAGACGTTTGGGCAAAGGCCTGAAGGGAGGCAGTCATGGGGGCATCTAGGCGAAATTTCTGGACCTGTGTTCCTAGACCCCTGGTTTCTCTGCATTCTTGGAAGATGCACAGAGAAATGACAGAGTGAGGATTTCCCTTTCTCCCTATTTCTCCAGTTTCCCAGCCCCCAACTCAGAAAACGTAGTGAGCAGTTTCTCACTCTATTAGGTCACCGACACTTGTGTTCAAGAAAATGAGTCAGGAACTTGCAAACCCAGCTCGCCGCCTGTGCCATGCTGCACTGCAATCCCGTGGGGCTTAGTGGTCCTTGCTTAGACTATCGGTTGATCTGCCTGACCAGCCAAGGGTTCTCAACCTCTGGTTCTCTGCAGACTCAATCTTGCCTAGTTCTTGGCCATTTCCAGCTACGTGTAGCAGGACTGTCTCCCTTGCTGATGAGGACATCTTCAAACCAGCTTTTGCTGCCATAACCCGTCTCCACCAAGAAAGCCCGAGAGCCTCCCTATTTCTCTCATCCAGTGGTACTAGTCTGTGTGGCCACCTTGCGCCTGGTCCTGAGATCCTGAGCCCCATGCTAATTTTCTACCAGCATCTGATACCCCAACCGATTCAAAATGTCCCACACTCTGTACATGCCCAACCACGTCCTCCCCAGGAAAGAACTGGTTTCTACTTCCTCTGCCTTAGACAACCTCCCACTCCATGACCGTCCCCGAGAGCCCCTCATCTGAGATCCCCTGCCCTTCCTCCCTGTCTGTCTCCCTAGATAGGCCCCTGAGATATCACCCCCAGCCCAACTCAAAGCCGACTTCTACACAATTCCGTGTACTTGATCATTTAGATGTCTAGACCAGAGCAGAGAGAGAACTTTTCTCCCAAGTGAGGTCTGTTCAGCCTCCAACCTTTGCTGGCCTCAGTATCACTCCTTGTCAAGAATTTCCAACATTCTCTTCAGCCAACAAAGGTCCTGCAGTCCTCTCATGATACCTGGTCAGTGAGCATTTGGAATAAAGAAACATTCGTTGAAAGGAAGGGAGGAAGAGAGCAAAGAGAGGAAGGGGACTCTGCCTAAACTGCAGATCCATGAGCAAAGTCAATGCTATGGCTGCTTGAAGCCACCATGTTCCACAGCAATACATAATGGCAACAGTCAGTGCCCAAAACCTTAAATCTAGACAGGCTCCATGCCAAGCATTTCACATCACTGATGATCCCATTTAATACTCGCGACAACCCAGAGGGATAGATACTATCACTACCTCTATTTTATAAAGGAGGAAGCTGGTTCACAGAGAGGTAAAGCAGTTCCCCAGGGTCACACAGCACAAGTGCAAGATTTTGATGCAGGAATTCTGACCTGAGTCGATGCTTTAGCTACAACACGTTACTACTCTTTATGGCTGAACATTGGTCAGACTTCTTGCCCTGTATGAGTTCGTTTTCTTCCTTAGCTCCTCCCCAGTGCTACTTACTAAGTGGGCAAGGTTCTTTCCTTTCAAGGAGATAAACAACAAATTCCGTGGCTATCTCCCAGCGAGAAAATGTGCTCTAATAAAGGCGGATGTCGGGTATTACAAACACACAGAGAAGGAGCACAGCATGGATACAACTCACTCAATATGGTGAGGCTTCCAGGAGAAAGACTTTGAGCTGTTGGTGAAGGACACACCGCAGTTAGTTGGGTTCCCACCTTGGTGCATGCAGGAGTGCATTGTGGGTAGGGGCTGGGAGCATGTGCAAAGAGGGGCCCTGAAAGGCACCTTCTGTGTTTGGACAACACCTGCAGTAGTTTGGTGTGAGTAGAGCTTAGAGCCCGTGGGGGGATCAGAGGAGGGATTGGGGCTGAGGGTAGGACAAAGGCTAGATCACAAATGGCCCTTAAGTGGGTGTATGTGTGAGAGAGGGGGAGAATACACACCCATGTATGAGGGAATGAATGCATGCACACGGTTACGTGCGTGCACATGGGCCTATTAACTGAGGAGTCCAGCCCCACCCCAGAGAAAAACACCAGTGCCCAGTTGAATTTTATTTTTCTTTTACTCCAATAAAGCTATCTTTAACACTTCTCACACGTTACTGTGCACACAAATCACAGAGGGATCTTGTTAAACCAAAATCTGATTGGGTGGGTATAGGTGGGGCCTGGGCATCCTCGTGTCCAATAAGACTGGTGCTGCTGGTCCACGGACCACACTTTGAATAGTGGGAGTCTGGAGCGCACCCCTCCTCCTGGAAACAGTGAGGGGGAGCGAGGAGAGTCCTGGCCTCGGAACCGAAGATCTCATTTGCTGGTTGGGAGACTTGGGAAAAAAGCTTCTCACCCTCTGAGACCCTTACCGCTACATTTGTAAGCTGATTACCAGATGATCTTCAAGTTGCCCTCTTCACTTGTTTTTAAAAATGTGTATCATGAATGAGGAAGTCCTGTGAATTTCCCAGGAAGAACATATTCAGTTAAAAAAATTAACCCAGACAGAAATGTTTAATAAAAACACTGGGAGGGCCACACAAGACCCATCTAAGGATCATATGTGGCCAGTGGCCAAAAGTGGCTCTGGGTCCCCAGTCTGCAATCTCAGCAATGAACTTGTGCCATTTGTGAAGCTACTGCCTTTCTTTGTCCGCCGACTATGCCGGTGCTTTCCCAGCCACAACTTGAGGAGCCGGCCAATAGGGGGCAGTAGAGAGAGGCTTAAAGGAGGGAGAAAGGACCTGTGTTTTTGTTGCTCTAAATTTCACCAGCGCAATCCTTCAACCCCAGCAGCAGTGCCATTCCAGGATAACTGCGGGATCCCATGAGCAGGACCAGCCACACCCTGTCCTTCCCTCCTGTCCCACACCAGCACCAGCCCGCCAGGGCCGCCTCTCCTGAGATATGAGTTCTAGCTCCATGGGGCCCATTTCTGAGCCTCTACATTGTAATTCCAATCGCTTCCCTTTATTCCCCCAGTCCTGAGTGGCCCTGCATTCATGACCATATTCGTTTTAACAAACATTTCACTTACCCAGTTAATCATTTTTTCATATTAAATTCTCTCTGATCCAATAACCGTCATGATTTCTGTCCCCTGACCACACACTTAACCATCCAGACACATAGGCAAATTGATGAATCTTAGAGATTAGATACTGAACCCAACCCCTTAGCTTTACTGGGTGAGACTGAGCCCCGGAGACGCTCAGTGACGCTCCAGGAACTTATCTGCTGGCCCAGCACCTGCTGGCACTGCACTTCTGGCCCTGGCTCCGAGCCTGCCACTTTTGATACCAAACCTCACTGTCCAAGGCAGAGGAGCTAGAAAGAACTAGAAGCGCTTCTCAAAAGGCTGTTACAGGCGATCAGAACATGCCGACCCAAAATATGCCATTTTGGTGTAAGAACTATTTTGAGCTGAAGACAGCTGAGAAACAGCAAACTTCAAAAAAAAAAAGCTCTCTGCCCTCTCC